ATTTGGTGTTTGCGCAATAACATTTGAGTACGCACATCTTTCTTGAACCATCCCATTTCCCACCAAATTACATTTTGTGGGAAATGGGATGGTTCCATAAGAAATTGTAATCCATAAGAAATCTTGACTCATTGCTCCCTATAATGATACAGGGAGCAATGAGTCAATTTTGAACTATTTAAAACAGTTAGGGTGATGAGCTGAAATTGATCAGGAAATCTCGATCAATATATATCAGTTAATGATATCTCAATATTCAATAATGCTATGCTCATAATAATGACTTCCAATCTCAATGTTTTGAATTAAATTTAAAGTCACTGAAGCACTGAATAAAATATTCTCTATAAGATACAGATATCCCACTAGTGCTATTGTATTTGAACATGTTCAGCTCCATTTGATGAAAGTAATGATTAAACCATAATAATTTGATGAAATTAATGATTAAACCGTAATTAAACAGAAAAAATAATTATCAGGATTCATTCATACCTCATAATCATTATGTCACCATCAATAGGTATTCCCTGGCGCGTTATTGTGACAGCTGACAACTAATACAAGTAACAAAGCACAATACAAATAACAAAGCATGATACAAGAATCGAAAACGCGCTGATCAACAAAACAACAATCATACAAATGAAATAATAAAGTGATGAATCCACGAAACTCACAAAAACTTCAAACATATCCGAATGATAACAATCAAAACACAAATAACAAGCAATCATAAAGCCTAAGCGAAAACTTAAAGTTTTCAGCACAACGACAGATTCCAATAAAACACAAAACAGCACACGAAAAACAGCATTACAAGCAAACCAACAGGAACAGATAGAATCTAACTATGAGATAAAACTCAAGAGATAAAAATAATTTATTTTGGCCTTTTTTTTAATTTTTAGTTTTTATTTATTTTTGTCTTTTTTAATTTTATTCTGTTTTTCTTTATTATTTTTTGTTTTTTTTTAATTTTTTTTGTTTTTTTTATTTTTTTATTTGTTTTTTAATTTTCTTCTTTATTATTTTTATTTTTTAATTAATTTTTTGAATTCTTGAATTCTTCCTCTCCCAAGTGACTGTTCCGTTGAATTTCGCGCCGTTGTTCCATAGCTGCTCGTAATATTATGTGTAGATTGGATTTGACTTGACATGCTGATAATTCGGGTCAGAGTTTCGTAAACCTCAACCAGATGATTGCAACTGCCAATTTATTGATTATACACATTCATCAGCGTTGTTTATGAATAATAGAAATGTTACATATTGCTGAATATGTGACACTCAGCAAAACTTTGGACATAGTACGATTAAATCGTGCCTATAGCACGAAGATCCAATAACTGCACCACGCTTCAGTTCAGCTATGAGTAGCTGAAGCAACATCTGAAGCTTTCTTCATATTTGGGTGCACTGATAATAATATTATGATGGGGGAATGCATTGATAAGGGCACACGGAAGGCAGTTGAATATCGAAGGGAGGAAGCATAGGGCATGTTGAGGGGAGAGAGAGGTGGAGATATCGTCGTTTCATCATTTCGGCCGTATTCTGACTTCATCTGGTTTATAAGTGGCCATGCTGGATGAAGTATTGTGAGATGGCGAGTTGGGGAGCAACGTTCAAGTGCAGAAAACAACTTTTCTGGCGTAAGTTGAGAGAAGTAAATCTTGATAATAAAGTGATCCGGTACTATGAGATACATATTCACTGATGTGTTCTTCATCTCGGCTGGAATATCGAATGCTTGTGGAATACCGATTCATAAAAAATTTTGATATCCTGATGTAGCCGTATCGATGATTTCGTTACTGGACAAGGAACAGACTTGGAGAGAGGAAGCTGGACGACTTGAAGATGACGACGACATCGAAGCTGATGTTTTTGTTAATTATCGTAATGAGTCGTAAATCGATGAAAATGAAATTTGAACCACAAAATGTATAAAATAAATTGAAAACAACGACGCATAAAACGGACTATCCAGGACTATACAATCTGCGGCCCCCATATATTTTATCTAAGGTACACCCGATTTATGCGGTTTACCTTATCTTCATATACTTTCGTTGAGCATAATCAAATTGAAGTAAGGTATCATTTTGGCCGCAAACCGCATATTAACAATACCATAAAACATAAAACTCCTACATAAGGAACACTGAACAAAAGCAAATAAAAACTGATCAAGCACAGAAAAACAATGAATAACACCACGACAATCGCTTGCAACATTGAATTCCTAATGTTCAAAGTCCACGACGAAACGGAAGAAAACGCTAAGCAAAACAACACATAAGGAACAAAACGCCTAACTACTGACATTATGACAAAACGTAAAATTCATGAATTTAAAAACTGAATGTAATATATAATACATTAGTAATTTCATGATAATCAAAATATAATCTAATCAAAATTTCACCTATAAGTTGGAACCTGAATGATTCGATCACCACTCTTTCAACTTCGCGACCATAATTCATTTATGGTCATTTTTTTTAATTCTCAGAAAAATTATTCGCAATGCCTTATTCACCCACTTCATTCTACAATCGTATTATAGAATACTATAGTAAATAAGTAATTTGAAAAACTAAAATGAGTCTGAAAAAAACATTACGAAAGGGCGTTTGACACGAAATAAAGCACATGTTACTCTATTCTCTGATGATAATTATCCTATCATACAAAAGGAAGCAATCTAATATAATAAATAGTGCCATACGCCCTATTCGTATGATAAAGATATGAGCAAACAATCGTCATCAGTTGTCAAAATAACATAACTACCAAACCAACCCCATTATTCAACTGTTCCCATCAAAATTCATGATTTTAGTAAATAGCACATTGAAATAACTGTATCTATTATAAATACTAACAATGTGGATCTTATCATATCCTCCTTCATAAGAAAATATCTTATCTTATTAATTACTCATTCACATTTCGCATCTTATCATGACGCACAACAACATTCTAATTGCTAGCTCACATCACTTATTTGCAATCATTTTTGATTCCTTAATTCTCTCGAATTTAGATTCCTAACTTGAAAATCCATCATCTCACCACACTAAATGTGTATAACTCTTCAAAACACTTCATTTTTCCAGCCATGCTGTTCCAATTTCAGAGGTGTTATCTTATTGGCCTCTCAAAATATAAATAGAATTTTTTAGGATTTTCATATTCTTAAATTTTTCACAATCTCACTCAATAAATTGTTCAGCTTAATTCTTCATTTTATGTCTTTATTCTGAATATTCGACCGGGTCCTAGCTCGCAGCTCAAGCAGCCCTTGGGTCAAAGTCTAAAAAATTTCCACCTGATTACGCACGCTACCTGGAGCAATCCCTTTGATTTCATAATATCATAAATAAATGAATTATTTTCAACAAGTCCCCAATAAAACTTAACTCAAACGAACATGCTGTTCTTAAACATGCAAAATACACGGATAATAAACGCAATAATAGTGAATTTAGAATTCATATAATTATACTTTATCTAAAACTATTACGGAATATAACAGAATATAATATAGAGAATATAAGATTTCTATTTTAAATACAGCAAGGCGACTATAAAATATGATTTTATTTTGGATATTACGTTAAATTATAAAAAATATAAAACTTTCATTTTGAATGGATAACAGAAAATATAACAAATGCAATAATTATTGCTAAATATACACGATAAAATAAAACGTTAACGCAAGCATGCACACTGTGGAAAAGTATCATAAACCTAATAAATTGATATATAAATAATATCAACATGATATATTTGATATTTATTAAAACCAACATGCAATTTTTATAAAACAAATAACTGATGAACATGACGCGAATAAAACGCTAAATGGTAATAAAGCAAAAANAAAAACATAATCATTATATAAGATACTGTTAAAATATTCATCCACTAATAAGATGAAATATTCATATAACTTTGATTATAATAATATATAAATATTTTGAACATGAACATGAACATAAAACGTCCTAATTCAATATCATCTAATGATATAAAATATGATACGTGAATAAAAATACGAGCAACGCAAAAAATACGTATGTCAACGCATAAAAACGTGTAAAAACAGAAATATAATGAAAAGAAAATCAGAAAAAAACGAGAAAAGTAAAAAATAATTGATATTTAATCGAATTTCTCATGAAAAAATCTAGAAATTCGGTCCCACTTTACCGAAACTTCATCAAAATGTCAAGTGAAATATTAAAAATGACCACTACAATTTATTACAAATTCAAATCCCCTCAAAATATTCAATGAATTTCAATAAATTTTATCTGAATGATATTAAGCAATATGACTGTTCAAACCAACATCAGCAGAAGATTGTCCCCATTGAAATAAGCGTTTTCCAAACGATTTTCGTTCCAATGAGATCTCCCTTATCGGCTGAAATCGATCCATCTCCTCCACTTTGATCCGTCGTCCGTCCACTCAATTCCACCGATTCCGAATCGTTTGCCACTGAGGCTATTGAGGGGGATGGGGCATGGTGATTAAGGATTATTGTATATTTTAAAAGATTTTTACTTGCTCTCAAATTCCTTACCTTTCAACATACCTTTTTGATGATGACCCAATTCCGTTACCACTCCCAATTCCGTTACCATCGAAAAGCCATCTCATAATTTTGCTCCAAGCTCAGGTACATCCCGACGACCATTTTCTCATGAAAACAAACCCAATGAATTATGTTCAGAAATTGTATCAACCTCATGTAAAAGTTATATTGTTCTAGAGTTAGTTTTCGAAAAATATATCACAATGTTGAAAAAAAANAAAAAAAATTGATTGAATAAATTAAAAATTTTTTTGGCGGTGCATTTTTTAAAAAAAAGGTGGGTTAATAAAAATTTTTTTGGTGGTGCATTTTTTTAAAAAAAGATGGGTTATTAACAATTTTTGGGATGAGGGGGTTGATCGCCACCGTGACCTCTTTAAGAGAGGCCTTATAAGTTGCGAGCGTGGAGTTCGGCAGCCAAGCTTTTGTACTTGGCTGGCTCCGCGTCCTTAAAGCGCTTTAGGAACGTCATGCAGACTTCTGCACGGCGTTCCGCCTCCGTCGAGAGACGTCTCTTCCGCTGCACCTGCGGAAGAGGCGCCTCAGCTCCGTGCCCGACCTCGATAAACGAGTTATCGCGGTTGAGGACACGGAGCTCAGCTGCGGCCATGAGCCTCCACCTTTTAACCGCCTTCGACGCCCCCACGCACCTCTCCCGGCGGTGTGCATCCATGTGCACCTGATGGTCCGCCGGGGAGAGGCCATGAGGCACACCCACCTCATGACCGCAGCTCGCGCAGAATGCCAACTGCTGATGGCACCCTGCGCGCCTCACATGAAGCCGCCAGGCGGCCACGGTCTTAAAGCCCGTGTCCGGCCTGGCACAGCCGTGAAGACGGCAGAAGATGCTGCCGTCCTCAATCACGTAAGCCGGTTGTGCCGGCTCCGTGAGTTCGGCTGCCGCCTCGGCCCGGAGCCCGCTGACGTTGGCCGGGCGGAACTCCGGCGGCTGCGGCCTCGCCTCCGCTGGTTCGACGGCCGGCTGATTGCGCCTGAAAACAGCAAAAGTAAGGATGGTTGTAGAAACACCTTTTATATACAACTGTTATTACTGGTTCGATCCTAAGCTTCTATGAAATACTTCAAAATTGATAAATTGTATCGAAGTCAACCAAAATGTCATTATTATACATCTCTGTATATTGATTCGGCTAATTATTTTCAAGACATTCAATTGATGATCTTAATGCTTAGAGTGACACGAATGATTAAACAGAATGAAAGTAAAAATCCACAATAAAAATGAAAAACTTACTGAGTGCGGGGGACAGGGGTTGAGGGGGAA